CGGCCCCCCCCCCGCCCCCCCGCCCCCCCCCCCCCCCCCCCCCCCGTCTTCTGGTCTTTCCCTCATCTTGCATCTTCAGGTGCCCAGAAGTGAAGCAGTTTTGTTGTGGCTGGATGGGAAAGGTCCCAGGGGGTGTGGTTTTGAGATGTGATAGGGTAAGAAAAGAGGGAAACAAGAGGAAAGGAGTCAGAACTTGCAAGGGAAAGCAGAGAAAGGCCCCATGGGAAGGCAGCAGAAACAGAGTCCAGTGATGCCCCTGTCTCCTTCCTCTATGGACTGATTTCTTGGAGGGAAGGAAGTGGGCGGAAAGTCACAACCTGCAGGGATTACAAGGGCAAAGGAGATGACTTCTGCCACCTTAAATATAACCTTAGCAGCTCCCTTCTTCCCTGCTTCTCCTGCCTCCACCCTAAGCTGGGAGTGCAGAGTGGAGCCCATTTCCTGGAGACTGAGCAGCCTGCCTTTACTGACTGGATTAGCAACCATCAGGATCCACTAATGAGCACTTACAGCCGCCCCTTTAGTCTCCCACTCATTCTGGAAGACGGCAGGAACCAAGGGGAAGTGTATGACTAAGCTATGATTAGTTCTTGTGTGACAAACATACAAGAATTTATCAATTCAGTGCAGTATTCTCCTTAAATAGTTCCTGCGGAGAGCAGTGCGCTCCTCCTGGTGCTGCCTCCCTAATGCTCAACGGTTTTGTTTCTTCTTTATTTTTCCTTCTTCTGTTCCACACATTTTAAAACCTCCCCTTAGAATTACCTCGAGGCAGTTTAGAAGTCCCTTGTAAACAGAACCTTTATTGTCACACATCCTTGTCTGTAAACATTTGCTATATTTCTCAACCACCTTATTGATAAATTCAATGAGTATTCTGGGCATCAGTCCTTCTGTGGTGGGCACAGGGACATGGAGCTGCCTTGTGGGCATCAGTCCCTCATGGTGGGCACAGGGACATGGAGCTGCCTTCGTGGAGTTTGCTGCTGAGAGAGACAATCACGTGGCCACTGCTCCAGTGCAAACTGCTGTTGCCCAATGTCCAGAGGGAAGCACACGGGGTTAGCAGCGTCTGGAGTGGGTATGTGACATGGGAGGCTGCCCAGAGAGGAGGTATTGACAGCAAGAGTGAGGAGAGTGAGAGCCTAGCAGAACAAGGGAACATGCACTGTATCAGACAGCTTTCTGTTGCGGAGACAAAATTCCTGAGGTAAACAAGCAAAAAGGGAAGGCTTATTCCACACAGTTGCTCGGCACATTTGCCTTTAAACCTGTGGCAGACCATCATGGTGGATAAGATGCTCACTTTATAGCAGCTGGGAAGCAGAGAGCAAGGGGCTGAGTTCTCAATAACCCTTTCAGGACCACACCCCGTAACCTAAATTCTAACAGTTCCATCCCCTCTCCAATGTACCATCACCTGGGAAGCAAGCCTTCGACACATGGCTTTGCATCCACACCATAACAGAACCCAACAGTCCCTGAAGCCCGAGTGTCCACAGAGAAAACAAGTAAAATGTGGGCACACTGAGGTCAGGGCACATAAGGCCTTCTGGGTAGTATCTGTTTCGATTACTTGTTGATAAACACACAAATCATCCCAAAGTCTAGTGACTTGAAACAGCTTTTAAAAGTGAATTTGAGGTGAGGTGAGGAGAGCTAAAGCGATGACTAAACAGTTAAGGTGGCACAGTGCTCTTGCAGAGGACCCACGTCTTTTGTGGCTCCTCAGGTGTCACACCCCCAAAACTCTAGCCCCGGGGTAGCATCTGACACCCTCTTTTGTCTCAGCAGGCACCTGCATGAACACACACACACACACACATACACACACACACAGAGGGAGGGGAATTAAAAATAATTAAAAACAAATGCGTAACCAACTTACACATTTTTTCATGGTTCTGTGGGCTGATTGGGAGTCTCTCTGCTGTTTCACTTGGCCTCCTTCATGTGGCTGTATTTGCTAAGCAGGCTAACTAGGCAGGAATATTCCAAGTGGCTTCACTAGCTTGTCAGGCAATCAGCATTAGCCGTTCTTGGAGTGCATCCATTTCCCTCCACAGGGCCTCACCTCCAGTGCTTAGGTCTAACCCTACTGCCTTCTACGGTGGTTTGAGGGCAGCCTTCCAGCAGACAGAAGGTGCAGTGCTGTGGAAGACTAGGCTCCAGAACACACACACGATTTCTGCCTCGTGCTATTACTGGTCAAGGTTGGTCACAAAGCCATCCTCCTCTGCAGAGATAAGGAAGTAGATTGCTTTTGTTTGGAAACAGCCTCACTATGTAGTCCAGGTTGTCCTCAAACTCACAAACTGTCTCTGCCTCCTTAGTGCTGGGGTTACAGTTATGGCCACCATGCCTAGTCTAGGCCCTGACTGATGATGCGGTTGCAAAGGATCTGGATGCCATTCAACACTCGTTACCTTAAAAGATTTTTAAACAGGAGCAGAAGCAGCGTTGGGCAGAATGTGATTGGTTTGAGATTGGAGAGCTCTCTGTAAATAACATGCAGGGGAGGCCCGCAGAAGGCCTATGCATTTGTGTTCATTGGATAGGGAGGTGAGAGATGACAACAGCTTGGACCAGGAGGATGAGCAAGAGGTGGAGATGAGTAGGTGGATTGGCTATTAAAGGGAGAAATGACCTTTAATAATAAATAATAATAATAAAGGAAGGTGAAGGGAAGGAGAAGCCAAGAAAGGGAAGGAAAAACTGGAAGATAGTCTGGCCTAGAAATGGGAGCTCATCAGTTTGGGTTCTTGGTGATAAGGCTGTGAAGCAGGTGACAGGATAGTATAAATCATGGCTTAGAGGGGCCCTTGGCGGTGACACACTCCAGACTCCTTTTATTCTAACTTCGATGATTAAGATTTGGGTTGGGGAGATGACTCGCTGGGTTAGGCGCTTGAAGGCAAGTGTGTGAACCTAAGTGCACATCCACAGACCTCACATAAACTGAGTGTAATGATGCAAGTGTCTGTAATCACATTTCCACCACAGTGGGTGGGAGGTGCACACAGGAGAAGCCTTCAAATCCCAGACGCTTGTGGGCTGGCTATCTTGGCATACAAATCTGTGAAATTCTGTCTTTAGCAAGGTAAAGGTATAGTTAGGCTGGGCATGGTGGCACACACTTTCTTAGCACTCTGAGGCAGAGGCAGACAGATCTCTTTGAGTTTGAGGCCAGCCTGGTCTACAGAGTTCCAGGCCAGTGGGGCTACACATTAAGACTCCACCTCCAGAAGGGACACACCCACTACACAGAAACAACAGGAAAAGCCAAACAAGGTGAGTGTGAGGAAACCTGAGGTCATCCTCTGACCTTCACACATGTGCCACAGCGTGAATTACACACAAGAATCCACGCACATTCTTTACATCGACATACATACAAGCACACAGACTACAATTTACCATCATTTGGAGTTTGTTTTATGTGTATTGTACATGTGTGTGTATGTATTCCAGGTGTGTGCAGGTTCCTGAGGACTCTAGAAAGGATTCAGATCTGAAACTAGGGTTACAGGCAATTGTGAACTGCCCAACATAGGCGCTGGGAACTGAACTCAGGTCCTCTGGAAGAGCAGCAGGTGTTCTTAAGCACTGAGCCACCTTGCCAGCCCCCTTCAAGAAATTTTACTTTTTATTTATTTATTTTTGGTTTTTCAAAATACTCTGTGTAGCAGTCCT